GTGTTCACTGGCACTCTGTCCTCAGCCAGCTTGTCTCTTTCAATCTCTGAACGCTGCCTGGAAGCCCTTACCTACTCCAGTGACTCTGACTCCCATCCACATGCTGATGACGCCCCATCTCTAGCTCCAGCTCAGATCCAATATCTCAGCTCCAGACTGGCATAACCCACTGCCTATGGGAAATCTCTGAGAACACATCTGGATACCTCAAACTCACTACGTCCCAAATTGCACTAGTGCATCTTTCACCCCCAAAACTGATTCCTTCCTGTGTTTCTTAGTTAACGACCAGCACCAGCATCTCAGCAGCTGGAGCCAGAAAGTTAAGCACCATTCTCCTTCCTCTCCCTCCTGCACCCTGCAGCTAATTAGTCAGAAAACCCTGTAGGGTTTACTTCTTATTTATTTATTTTTTGTGAGGAAGATCAGCCCTGAGCTAACATCCATGCTAATCCTCTTCTTTTTCTGAGGAAGACCCGCTCTGAGCCAACATCTATTGCCAATCCTGCTCCTTTTTTTTTTTTCCCCAAAGCCCCAGTAGATAGTTGTATGTCATAGTTGCACATCCTTCTAGTTGCTGTATGTGGGACGCGGCCTCAGCATGGCTGGAGAAGCAGTGCGTTGGTGTGCGCCCGGGATCCGAACCCAGGTCGCCAGTAGCGGAGCATGCGCACTTAACCGCTAAGCCATGGGGCCAGCCTGGGGTTTACTTCTTAAATATGGCTCCCACATTCAGTACTTCTCCCCAGTCCTATAACCACCACTCTGGCTCAGGCCAGTCACCTCTCCCTGCTCTCCTGTGACCACAGGACATACGGCCTTCCTGTACCTGGCCTTCTTGCCTCCAGCCTTGATCCCTCCAGCCCCCCCTTCACATAAAGTCAGAGTGATGCCTGTACAGAGTGAATCTGATCACCCTGCTCTCCTGATTAAAACACTTCAATGATCCTCCACCAGCTGCACTCTGAGGACAGCAGAGCGTTATTGAAGTATTTTAATCAACAAGTGAGGTGACCAAACTCGAAGAGCAAATGACAATAGACTTTTCAGGAGCCATAGCAGAAGACCTGGAATACTATATACTTTCTGACAAATAAAAACAAAGTTTCCCAGTTACAAATTCTCATCAAATAAATATCAACAGATGTATTTTAGAAGGAAGAAAATTGTAACTAGGAAGGAATGAAATGCAAGAAGGATGGGTGAGTAAAGAATGTGGACAAAGAGAAATTATCAGTGACTGTATAAAACAATGATGGTACTAACTGATTTGTGGAGAAATAACACGAGGCAGGACTAAAGTAATTCGTAAGACGTGTGGGACAGAGGCTAAGGCATTCTAAGGTCCTTGTATTGTTCATGGGAGGGTAAAGATACTCGCTAACTTTAAATAGTAATCACAAAAGAATAAAAATAGAATGTAAAACTCGCAAACTAGTAGAAGGAAAAAGAGAAAAAAAAGGGAAGCATAGAAATAGAATAAATAAAAAACACAAAATAAGATGGGAAAAAATAAATGCAAATATACCAATAAACATAATAAATGAAAATGAACTCAATCCAACAGTTCAAAGAGATTATCAGATTGGATTTAAGAATCCAGTTTAGGCTGGCAATGAGACTGTCACATAAGTACAAATAAAATCTGAATACAAGAGGACAGATATACCAGGAAAATACTAACAAAAAGAAGGCTGGTAACTACAATAATATCAGCTGAAATAGAGTTGGGGAGGAATATTAGGGATAAAGAGGATCCCTATATAACGATAAATGGAAAAAATTCTCCAGAATATTCTAGATTATGTGCAATTAATAACACGGCCTCAAGATATCTACGTAATAGAATTAAGAAGCTTGATCTGGAACATATACAGAACTCTGTACCCAACAACAAGAGAATATACACATTCTAAGAACACAGAGACCATCTGCAAAAATTGACCTGTATTAAGCCACAAAACAAATCTTGACCAGTATCAAAGAATCAAAATCACACAGTCCACATCTCTGACCACAAATGCAAATAAGGTAGAGATCAGAAACAAAAAAGTAACCAGAAAGACCACTATGGCTACTGGGTTGAGAATGGGTGTGTAGTAAGGGCCTGGTGGAAGCAGGGAGACCCACCCAGAGTCCTAGGAGTGGGTTGGGGGAGGTGTTTTGGACAAGGGCGAGATGGAGAGAAGTGCTCTGTCCTGTTCAGTCATGTACACTTGGCACCTAACATGGTGCCAGGTACCTAGTAATTGCTAAAATCCAGGTTTTGAAAAAATGAAAAAGAAGCTAAATAAGTGCTAGTTAAATGCACTGAAATAACTCACAGCGGGTTCCCACGGCCCAGTCACAAATGCCTCACCTGCCTAGACCCATTTTCTGCCAGGACAGCCAGCCCTGGGTCTGTCCACCTGCTTAAATCTCCTGTCTCACTTCCCTGCCCTTGTGGCTCCTTATTTTTAGGAGAGACCTAATATAAGACTATACTAGGTGTTTCCATACCGGTTATCTCATTTAATACACCCCCAAACCTGTAAATTCAGTCCTGTAAACTCCACTTACAGACGAGGAAACAGGTCAGGTTCAGAGAGGTTAAGTAACTTACCCTAAGGTCCTCATCTACTATGAGATTTAGACCCTCATCTGCCTTATCCCCTTTCCTCACCCCCTTAAAGAGGCGTATGGTGCCATCATGTAGTGATTAAGGGCACTGGTTCAAATCCCAGATCTGTGACTCATCAGCTCCTTGTACAAGTTACTTAACTGTTCCATACCTCAGTCTGTCCACTATAAAATGACAGTGATGATTACATGGCAGCTACCACAAGGGCTGTTATGAGAACTAAGCAGGTTAACATATATGCAGTGCTTGGAAGAGTGCCAGACATACAACAAGCTTCTAATAAATATTAGCTTTTTAGTATTATTTACCTGTTTAAAAAATCAGCCATGACTCTCGGATAAGAGTAGCCAAATTAATCAAAAAAAAATTTGTTCTTTGTAAAGAAGATTGGCCATGAGCTAACATCTGTTGCCAATCTTCCTCTTTTTGCTGAGGAAAATTGGCCCTGACCTAACATCTGTGCCCATCTTTCTCTATTTTGTATATGGGATGCCACCACACCATGGCCTGATGACCAGAGCATAGGTCTGCACCCAGGATCCGAACCTGTGAACTCCGGGCCACCAAAGTGAAGCATGGGAACTTAACCACTACACCACCTGGCTGGCCCGAGTCAAAACTGAATCAGAGAAGTGGGCAAGTATAGACTGCCTTCCAATTAAAAATGCAGATACTGTAGCCACACTCACTAAATGCTCAGCTAAAAGGCCTGTTTTGTCTGTCTCAAACAACTCAGACAACCACAGATGCTAGACTATTCCTATAAGATTATTGGGATACACGGCACAAACCCATGCCTAGATCATCCGACCTGGAACAGGGTTTCTCAACCTCGGCACCATTCACATTTCGGGCTGGGTAATTCTGTCATGGGGGGCTGTCTTGTGCATTGGAGAGAGTTGAGCAGCATCCCTGGCCTCTATCCACTAGGTGCCAAGAGCACACTCACGCCACCCTACCCCCACTTGTGACAAGCAAAAATGTCCCCAGATGGAACCAAATATCCCCTAGGGGACAAAATAATCTCCAGTTGAGAGCCCCTGCTCTAGTGTTCATAATTCAACCTTTTCTAGTGGGATCCAAAGCAGACGCTGTTGTCCCAAGTTCAACTCTAGAATCTGTAATAACATAGCCGGGGGCAGGGATCCAGTAAGGAAGGATGATGGAAATAGATTACGCAGGTCTTCACATAGCCCCACAATGACCACCATGCACGGTGCATGGAGATAGGCTGGAAGGCAGAACGCACAGAGGCCATTTCAATCTTGGCTGATAAAAAGAAGCTACAAGGAACTCTGTGCATTTAAAATAATGTTCTGCCTCCAGAAACCCAACATCATAGCATTTGTAATGGACGGAGCATTTACACGGAGATTTTGCCTTCAAATCGCCAAGCTTTCAGTCTCCGCTGACATTCTCAAGGGGCAAGCTTGGCCCTCTTCCATCTTCCAGATGATTCAGGTTTCCTGGAGAACAAAATGAGCCTCTAATGCCTCATATTTTCTCTCTGACAGATGGTTTCAGATGTATCGAAGTGCTAATCCTTGCTGAGGTATAGGTCTCAAGGAAGGAGAGTTTGGCTTTTAGAATGATAGGACTTGAATGATTAAGGAGGAAAATTACTCCCAGGACATTCGCCATCGTCATGTGAACAACCAGCTTAAAATGAAGGAAGACAGCAGAATCCGAAAAAAGATTTGAGGAGAAAGGAGAGGAAAAACTCAAAAACCCAGGTTAACAATTTAGCTTTGAAACATTTCCGCTCAAAGACATCTCTGGGCGCGGAAATGAAGGGCAATAAAACAGCTTCCAGCTCAGGGTGATTAGAGTTCCACCCGCCTCCCCCCCAGATCACCATTCCCAGCTTCAGTGTGTGGAAGAAGCTCTGGACAGGGAGGCCTGGGTCGGAAATCTGCCTTGCCACTTACTAGCTGTGTGACCTTGCGCATGTTATACAACCTCTCTGAGCCTCAGTTTCCCCATCTGTAAAACAGGTAGTAATACCTACCTCAAAGAGAGAATGTGCAAATGAAACGATCCAGTGTATGCCTAACCTGACACATCAGCGTTCAGTGAATATTAACTGAGTATGAACGAGTATTTAGAGTCGACCTATAGGCGAAGACTGCTTTCATTACCACCTTTGCGTGTCACAGGAGGCTTGGCAGTTTTATTTTAGATATTACAGAAATAAATATTTATAGATGAGGATGCTGAGGGTCCGAGAGGTTGAGTCACTTGTCTACAGCAGGATTCGAACTCGGGTCTGCCTGACCCCGGAGCTAAGTTCTTTCCACAGCCCCACGTGGAGATGACGGGGTCTAGGGGAGGGTGGGAGTTACTGGGGCCAGGCCACCGCGCAGGGTCAGAGGTCACTCACGGTACTCCTCCGGCCGCATTAGGGGCCGGAAGTAGATGGGGTAGAAGGCGGCGCCGACTAAGGAGATGAAGCCGCCGAAAATGAGCGCGGTGCGCAGGTTCCCGGACATGGTGCCGGACCGAAGTCCGCCCTGACCCGCCGAGCGCCCCACACTCTCAGGATCTCGGCTCACGCTGACCGGGCCGTGACCCCAGGCGGAAGAAGCCAAGCGCCTTTCGCTTCCGGGCCTCGGGGGCGGGTCTAGGAGGCGGGGCGAGGACCGGCTCTGGGCGGGGCTAGGGACTGGGGTGGAGTCATAGGCGGGGCCTCTGGGGTGGGTGTGGCGGGGGGGGGTTTGGGGGGGGGGCCCGGGGGGGGGCGGGGAGGGGCGGGGCTTCGGGGCCGCCGCGCCCCGCCTTCCCCGCGCTCCCTCTCTGCCCTCTGCGGTGGCCGAGCGTAAGCGGCGGGTTGGGAGTGGAGCTTTTATTGCGCCCGATTCCGCGGCGCGTGTTCTGCCCCGTGCCCTGACCTCGGCCTGGTTCTTTCCTCAGTCGCTCTGCCCATCGCCTTCCAGACCTCCTTTACCGCTCCCTCTTTTACCAACCACTCTTTCTCGTTCTTCCCTCGTCGGTTTGATTTTAGCGACTTGGAGCTCTGCCTTATTGCCTCGTTGCCATGAGGGGAATGCTCTCTATGGCACGCTGAGTTAATTCTCACGTCAGTCGGCCCATTTGAAAGGTGAGGGAACCCTGGCCTGGCTGCGCGGCTTTGAACAAGTCATTTAACCTCTTTGGGAGCAGTTTGAGGGGATTAGAGACAAAGGGACAAATCGCCTGGCCCAGGATGGCCTGCAGGGGGCTTCTGAAACCCGATCCTCAGGGCTTGATTCTGGGAGGAATGTTGTTTCAACATCTAAGCTACAAGTAGATCTTTTTTGACTCCGTTTTTCCATTCCCTCCTCTTTCTCCCTGTTCCCTTTCCTGGATGTCAGGGTTACCAATGAGAATGGGGAGTAAATAGGGATCAGCGCAGGACAGAGAGCCAGCGGCCAGTCCCACTGATGGGACCTTGGGGCTCTGCCTTATGCCTGGGTGGGGGCCACTGAGGACAGACATCTGCTTCCTGTCCCTGTGATTGCCATCCTCCATCCTTCCAGGTGGGCTGTGTCTGCTTATGACCTGCCTAGGGGTACTGGGCAGCTGAGACTAAGATTCCTTGGGCTTTCACTCAATCCTTTATAAATAAGAATGATACCAGCAGCTGGGGGCTGGGAAGCAAAGAGGATATTCATCTTCACCCTAGCAGCATTATTTAGTCCAGAAAAGATCTATGATCATTCAGAAAGGGTGTGGAGAGCGCAGGTTTCCTCTTTCTTTGTAGTTGTGTAGTTGAATCAAGCAACTATCTACCTCTGTGGTTCCGGAAGCATACAAATCAGGTGTTCGATTTGTCAGCAGATTTATGGACTATCTGCCGTTCCCCAAACACCAGGAAAAGTGCTACAGGGACAGAAGGGTAAATAAGACGTGACCCTTTCTCTCCAGGATCCTGCCACGTGGATGAAGAGACAGGACATATACATAGAAAGATAACTAATGACGTGACTGCAGCCTGTTGTGGATGAGTGATATGGTCCTGCAGGCTCCAGAAGATCAGAGGAGGAAGACAGATGACTGTAGGGTGAGGTGGCCGCTCCTCAGGTGCTGGCAGGAGCTTGTTAGGGTAAGGACAGAAGACTTCATAGCAAAGAGGGAAGCTGTGATGCATGCTTTATATCACATGACATAAAATTCCCAGGTGTAGTGCACATTTGCCATTTTTTGCAACCCAATGTCCACTTCTCTTTCTGTTAATAGTACCCTGAATATCTTTCGGCAAACCACTCCTCTCCCATTCTCAGTCCATGAGGTAAGCTGGGGCTTTTCCCCCCACCCCAATCCTTACATTTTCCCATCTCTGAGAGTTAAGCATATAACCAAGCCTGACCAAGCTCGCTCGCCACCGGCACTGATTGGCACAGGACCCAGGCCTGATCATCCTCCCAGCCTCATGATCCAAGTTGAGCCAACCTTAGTCTGTCCCAGCTGCTGGAATGCTGGATTTGAACTTAAGGGAGTGAGACTCTGGAGCTGCTGGGGACCACCCTTTAGAGACTGAGAACGAGGACAATACAGCAGAAGGAGAGCTGAGAGATGGAAGGAAATCAGATGCTGATGTTGTATTTGAGCCCCTGAGGCCAGCTGTGCCTGAAACGGGATCTGCCCCTGGATTTCTCAGTGACATGAGCCAATCAAGTCCCCTCTTCACCGAAGCCGGTTTGAGTTGGGTTCTGTTTTTTACAACAGAAGGAGTTCCGGATGAAATCACCAAGGGTGTAATTTCATTTGTGTAACACCTCCATGAGCTGCAAGTCAAGGATGACCCTATTTTATAGACCAGCTCACTGAGAGCCGGAGACCTGAACTTTCTTAGGGTCACACACCATTGGCTGAGCTGGAACCAGAGTTTAGCTCTCATTATTCCTAGTCTGTGACATCTTCTCCATGACACTTGCTGTCTCCAAGAGCAAGCTTGGCAGGATGGCTGGCTGAGCCCTACCCACAGAGCCTCTGAAAGCCAGTATGGAGAGTGCCAGGATACTGCCAGGATGTCCTAGTGACCTACCAGCAGTGCCTCCAAGGTGGTGACAGGACCAATATGGGACAGATAGACCACTCCCCTCTCCAAGGGGATGTGGCAAGTAACTGGTGATTTCTCTGTCCCCTCATGCTGATCTAAAGTTTCAGTCTCACCAGCAGCCAGGCTATAATCTATACAAATAACAATAATCTATATCCTTCTATGCCATTTGTATAGCTTATTACCATCATCGCACCAAAACCTAGTTACTTATCACTTGCTTGCCACCAAGTCCTACCAAATGCAAGTTCATTTCTTTGATCCCAGTAGTCTCCCTATTTCTGAGAACGCCACTGTCCTACAAATTCAATCAGCAAATACTTATTGTGTGCCTACTCCAGGCAAAGCACTGTACTGGTTGATTGAGAACAAAGAGGAAGCAGTCAACGTTTGTGTTTTCAGAGGGTCACTGAGCCAGGCGCCATGTGCAAGGCACTTTTCAGGTGCTGGTGGATGCAGCAGTGAATTAACAGCAGAGTCTGCTGTCCTCCTGGTGTCTACAGTCTGGTGGAGGGATAAGATGTGGCGGTGGATAGTAATTGCTTTTTGGCTACTCAGCCTCCCCTAATAATAGCTCCTGGTTCATTTCAGAGAATGACCTCTCATCTTGGCATTCTTGGTTGGACTGTAAATCCAGGGGCCCTGTGTATTCCTGTCAATACTAATATCAAGGCTGTAGAACACTTCCCCTGCGCCCATCACTATCACAGGTTTGCCCATTAGTACTCACCAACCCCTGTGGATAGGTATCCCCATTTGCAGAGGGGGAAGCTGGGGCATAGCAAGAATGACTAACTCAAGGTCACATGGCTAGTAAGTGACAGAGCCTGGATTCAAATCAGGCGAGACCTGCACTTACCACCAATCTACACTGCCTCGCACAGTCAGTGAGCCCATGTTGTCTGAGTATGAGTACAATTCCAACCTGGTCCGATTGTTCTCTTTCTCTCGGAAATGAGAATCATGAGGATGGTGACACAGGGGCAGACAGCACTGTTGCAGTGGATTTCTTCCACTGCTAGCGTTCTGATGAGATCATTGCATATCTCCCATTTGCCTGTAATCCTGGAGCTTCCCTCGTTGTTCCCCCTTGCAGTCTGATTCTCGTTTGTTCATTGGATTCTTCAGGCCACCCCATGTGCTTCCAGTAAACTCTCTTTGGACTTAAGTTAGTCAGAGTCCATTTTGGTTGTATGCCACCAGGAGCCCTAATAGAAACAGAAATTTCAACAATTACCTCTAATACATGGCATAGACGAAGGGCGTGGGGCTTCACAGCTGTGCTAATGTTGGTGAAAGCCAAAGGAGGTTTGGGTCTGGGGGAAGGTATTCGTGCAAAGGGAGAGAGCTCAAGGGATGTAGGGAGACAGAATGCAAATCAAATATGTCAAGAGTCCTAGGGTGCATGTTTCATCTCAATGACTAAGAAAAAAAATTGGTTTGGGCTCCTATCCGGTGCATTCTCCTTCTTCCCTTGGATGTGATGATTGAATGCTTGCAGGGAGCAGACCACCAGTGGCGTCTCGCACGGGGTTCAGACAGACGTCAAAGTTAATCCGCTCTCTGATCTAAGCAAAATGGTGACGAGAGTTTCCTGGGACAACAGCTCCACTAATTACGGCTCTGCAGCCCAGCTGGTGTATTTTTAGACTGTTGTGGATTCCCAAGAAGTGTCATTACTTTCTGCAGGAAAACAGTCGGACCAGAAACTTGGGGATTGGAACAGAGTGGGATCTAATGCAGGATCCTCTGAACCTGTGCTTTTGAAACTATGAGAGTAAGTAGGGGAAATGCTTGCCTGTTTTTATCGGATGCTGTGACTCTCTGAGCGCCTACTCATCTGTATAAATATTTCCAATTTAGATCATTCGTCAAGTTTTTCTTTGTTGGTCTGCTCTATACATCTAAGAGAGTTCCCCAAATGTCTGTCTTGGCTTATCTCTTGCCACACTGTGCACCCCACAGTCTTGGCTAATATCTGTATGACTTCGAGAGCTGGGTGTCTAGACCCAGCCTTTTTGCTGAACTCCAGCCTCATGTGCCTCATGGACATCTTCAAGTTCAAGATTCACTTGCTCTCGCTTCCTCCTCTTTGCTATCACTGCCACTGGCTTGGTTTGAGTCTTCATCAGCTCTCTCTGGCCATCGCTTCCTAACCAGTCTTGCATGTGCTATCATCTTCCATCACTAAACTGCTTCATTCATGGGGTAGCCAAAGTTATCTTCTGAAAACATAGATCTGGTCAATCACTGCTCTTCTCAGAAGACTTCAGTGTCTCCCTAAAGTACAATTTACTCAGCCTGGACCTCACGCTTTGGTCAACAGGTCATTAAAGGTCATTGCTGCATCCATGCGCCTCTGCTGAGTGAAATAATACTTCTCTCCGTCTAGATTGCCATGCTCGGTGCCTGTGGCCATAACTGATTGGATCAGAATGGACACATGACCCAGAACACAGTCAAAGGTCCAAAATGTCTGCCTAAATGGGGAATGGGCTGACCCAATGAGATTCTCTGCCTCTGGAATTTCATCTGGAAAGTCA